ACAACTAATTTTTTAATTTTTTTTAATATATTTTAAATGTACCATTATGTAATTAGTGTCTCGTAGGCCAACTGGCCGGGTGCTGTTTTTTTTAATGAAATGTTTATATGTCCATATATTTTGTACTGCAGCATGTGACACTCTAATAAAACAATTTTCTTCTTCTTCCTCTTCTTCTCTTCATACTCGTATTAGCGGTAACCTCCCATTTGGCAGACATCCCATTTGTCAGACAGCGTATACCAGGATTAGTCAAGGTTGGCTAGTCAAGCAATAGTTACCTGTTTACCTTTCATTAAAGTGGAACAGACAAGAAAACACACATTTTGAGGAATTTACAGGATTGGTTTATTATGCACTTATAATCATCAAATCTTACTAGAAATCACACTTTTTGAAGTATTCATAACGTTATTGCAATATTGCTATACACACAATACACACTGATCACAGTTCAGTACAATGGCTGTTTTCAGCTCAGCCTCAGCAAATGTCCAACAGCATCCAAGAATTCAAGAGGTTTCTTCTCTCTGTAGACCTTCTTCCTGGGTGGGGGAGCAGTACCAAAGTCTACAGTAAACTACGGTTATAACGAACACGCTTATAACGAACTGACCGATATAACCAACTTATTTTTTAGTCCAGGCCATTTGTTGTATATATGCTGCATATATGCTTATAACGAACTACGGTTATAACGAACTAAAATTAGTGGTTCCTCTTAGTTCGTTATAACCGTAGTTTTTGTGTCAGCTTGGCACCTTCCGACTTCTCAATGCCTTGAAGCCATTCCACAAAGCTGTACAGGTTGTCCTTGGTCCTACTGTGTGGTGATGATTCCAAAGGGGGAGACCGCCTCCGTGGTCTAGTGGTAGAGCGTCCGCCCGGAGAGCGGAAGGTCTGGGGTTCGATCCCCGGCCGCGTCATACCAAAAGACGTCAAAAGATGGTACCTGTTGTTACCCTGTCTGGCTCGGCACTAAGGGGCTAAAACAAGGACTGTTCGGCTCGGAGTCAGTATACTGTGTCTGAGGGGGGTATCTCAGTGTGCTAGCACTATAAATCGGCATCAGTCCGGACTAGTACACGCAGCCACACACACACACGTGCATGCACGTCGCTATATAAGTGCAATTATCTTGGATGCGACGTTAAACTCCATTTCACCTCACCCACCTCCAAAAGGGGGAGTCGGAAACGGGCCTCGTCGTCAACCCACATTGTCACAGGAGAAGTCCAGCTGCGGATCTTCTTTGTACTGGACAGATAAGCCAAGGTCTTGAATCTTCCTCCATATAGCCTGTGTTTAGTGAAAGAAACACCCCTTGATGTATGCTGCTGGGAATTCACTTTCGATCGCTCGAATGGTCGCCATCTTAAAGTCTGTCTGTACGGTAGCTGTTGAGAAGGGTCGGTTGAGAGTCTGCTGTACCTCTGTTTTCAGCAAAGTGAGAAACATGGCGTATGTCGTCTGTTGTCGGTTGGACAGCAGGGCGGAGACAAGTGGGTACATGGTGTCCACTGCGTGCATGTACAGTGTACAGTTGGTTCCACGGATGGGGACAGCAGGAAAACCATCCATGTACACCGTATCAACTTCAGCAAGACACCTCAGCTGCTCATCAGTGGAAAGGATCAGGATCTTATCTTCTTCACCGTCTGCGCAGAAGGGGAATCTTCTGCCATGCCCTGGTAGTGGTCGGAGAGGGGCGGTCGGGTAGCCTAGTGGTTAAAGCGTTCGCTCGTCACGCCGAAGACCCGGGTTCGATTCCCGACATAGGTACAATGTGTGAAGCCCATTTCTGGTGTCCCCCCACCCCACCCACCCCCCACCCCCTCCGTGATATTGCTGGAATATTGCTAAAAGCGGCGTAAAACCATACTCACTCACTCCTCTCTGAGAAAAATTGCATTTGTTTTAAGGCGTCTTTTTTAAAACATTATTCAGGCTCATAGTTTAAATAAAAAAAATACTTGGTTTTGCAGATGAAGCTTATAAAATATCTTATCTCGATGCAAAATCGAAGCTCCCCAGAATATCATATTGTCGGTCCCTAAGAATAATATTGAGTGTGAATCACTGGGAGCGGTACGGACCGGATAAACGGGATGTCGCGATGCATACATCAATACGTTAATTTAAATAGATGAAGGACAAAATGCGATTGGAATTTCAAACACGTGATGGTTTTTGTTAGTTCAATATTTCATTTGCACCATTATTACGTCTCACAGTGTCACATAGGGTGTTACTCTGATAACCGGAGTCACGTCTTATTAATAAAGTGACATTAAAAGTGATGTTGGCGAGGTAAACAGGACAATCGGACCGTCGTATCATTCGTTATCGATTTCCATCATTACTTTCACAGCTGTCGCGTTTTGTGTGACGCTATACAATTTTTATGCAAACATCACGTGACACACAGCCTTGACACTTTCAATAGTGCACGTTCAATGTCGGAGCGTCATCAGAGAAATTGCAGTCGATTTGAGGTCGTTATTAATATTTTGCCTCACATCTACAATAGTAAATCAATACTCCAAAATTAATACGGACAAAAGTGTAGAGTTCTTAATTTGATATCGATCGCCATTAATCTGATGAGAATTAATAGCACTGTCACATCGCCACTTTTTTACAATGTTGTTGGCTGGAGATACACCTATGTCTGGTCTGGATACAGTGCCACACACCAGATTCCAACAGTCAGTTACCACGTGGCACACTGTGGTATAATCAGACTATGTGGCACATTGTGTGGCATACTATGCGGCGTAATCAAACCATGTGGCACACTATGTGGCTTAATCGTAATCAACGCCGCCATCCCCACACCTCTAGGCACCCGAATACCACTTTACTTGTCTTGGCATCCAATTTAAGAATTCTTGACTCACATCAGTGTACACAGCTGCTACACGTTAACTAGACTGGGATTTTCACATAGATTGCATGACTAGGCATGCTCATAAGCTAGTGGCTAAATATTTTATTTTCACTCTGCTGAAAAAAAAGAGGAAAAATATATTTTAACATTAAAATATTGACATCCACGTACCAGATAAATATTTCATGGCATCCAGCGTACTATACTGTGGCATACGGAATGCCACTTAACAGGGATCGGCATCCGGCATCCCTTTGCACCCTCATCCTGTGTGGCATAATCATACTATGTCATATTCACCCTTTGTGGCAGACTGTAGTGGAGACCGCCTCCAAGGTCTAGTGGATAGAGCGTCTGCCCGGGGAGCGAAAGGTCCGGGGTTCGATTCCCCAGCCGCGTCATACCAAACGACGTTAAAAGGTGGTACTTGTTGTTACCCTGCCGGGCGTTCGACATTAAAGGGGCACTGATCTAACGCAATTCCCCGGGACTGGTTGTTGCCTTTGTTATTGTTTTTTCCCAGTGAGTACCCGGATGTATAGCGAAAACAATGAATTCTCGGTTCGGAGTCAGTATATTCAGTTGAAGGCCCGGGTTCGATTCCACACATGGGTACAAGGCGTGAAGCACACTTCGGGTGCCCCCCTACTTAATATAGCTGGAATAGTGCTTGAAACGGCATAAGGGTCTTACTACTTACTCACAATTAACTCTTGTGAACAATAGGTGCCAATATTACCTGGTCTATTTTCAACTGGAACTTATCTTTAGCCTTTGAGCACTAGGGGTTTACATGGCTTGTTCCACGGTGCGATCGTAGCGCTGCGACCATCGTAAGTCCCAAAAATATACAGACCTACGAATCCGGTTTGCTTTGTGAAACTTGGCGACGGCGTCCAGTCGAGGTCGATGCCTCGTGACAATGGAACTGGGAAATAACTTAAAATTTCCAAAAGTGTAAGAGATATTAGTTTTTTTTATCAGTAGTGCGTAATACCCCCACAATTTTCAAACATTCATTCACTCGAGGAAATAAGCGTATTATCAAGACTCTCAACGGCGATGTGAGGGAGTCTCTCACTTGCAAGGCCTGGCCACATTCAGGCAACGTGGTCGGCAGCCTATGATGTTGACGCACACGTCTCCCTATTATGGCCCAAACGTGTTCAATTGGGGAAAGTTCTTGGCTCATTTGTGGACATGACATTCTCAGGATGTTGTGCTGCTTCAGGTGAGCATTGACGATTCGTGCACACGGAGCACTGGCGTTGTCCTCCTGTCAGACCAACACCCCTAGCAAACGGGACAACAAAGAGTGTCAGTATGTTGTCCCGATAGTACTGTCCAGTGACCCTTCCTTGCACAATATGGAGTAGGATTCGGTCAGTCCCATACCATAACGGATCCAGCGCCAAATCTGTCACGAGGTCTCAGGTTTACATTGGCGTGACCTTCATTTGACTGAGTGAGTAAAGAAGATTTTACACCTCTTTTAGCAATATTCCAGCAATATCATGGTGGGGGCAACAGAAATGGGCTTCACACATTGTATACCCATGTGGGGAATCGAAACCCGGGTCTTCGATGAGCAAATGCTTTTACCACTAGGCTACCCCACCGCATAAGACACAACAGACCCCTGAAGATCCGGGGTGGAATAGGTCTTCAGCAACCCATGCTTGCTGTAAAAGGTGAGGTGAGGTGAAATTGGGTTTAACGAGGCGTCCAAGATTATTGCACTTATAAAGCGACGCTGCTGTAAAAGGTGACTATGCTTGTCTTAAGAGGCGACTAACAGGATCAGGTGGTCAGGCTCACTGACTTTGTTGATGCATGTCATAGTATCCCAATTGCGTGGCTGGATGCTCATGATGTCAATAAAGGGATTGTCTGGGCCAGACTCGATTATTTACCGACCGCCGTCATATAGGTTGAATAGTGTGGCATTGAACACCAAACAAACAGACACAATCACCCAAGCAAAGTGCACAGTGATTCTGAAAACCTGACAAGGGCCCAACAACGATTTCCCCAATTTTGGGGCTGCTGTGTACACCAGTGACGTCTGTTGGCAAGGGGCTGGTAGGGAAAAACAACACACAAATGCTTATGACTGAACACAGTATGTTTATTACACACCTAGAGTGACCACAATGACCTATCATGCAACCAGAACACTGGACACCTCAGAAATAACTTAAAGACATATCAATCATTCTTAATGAAGACAACAACTATAACATAATTTAACATAGAAAATGCCAGATGTAGTGATTCTATCTGTTGGAATGATGTATTTTACGGGAAGCAAGCTACACATATGAACAGCCTTCAGTAAAATGCCAGTAAAAGAGCAAGACGATATTCTTTAACTTCAACAATTTAACAAATAGTTCTTAACATCTTGTGCAGAACCTTTTGAAAAAGTATTTTTTCAAATCATTAAAATTATGTGAGGTTGTGATTAGGAATATACAAATATAGACAATTAACTTTGTCAATTTATTATCTTTCATAACATATTTTTACTTTTTGTTTTTTATGTTATTAATCACTGATTTGAGCACTATTAGTAAAAGCATATCATTCAAAATTTGACTGATATTTCTGATATAAAGCTGGGTGGCCCCTATGCAGAGAGAAATGGATTTCAGATATAATGTGATTACTTTTCATTTCCTTACAGAAACGAAGTTACAATGACACAAACATCACCTTCTTACATCCAGCAGTGAAGCAAAAAAAGGTTACTTAGCAACAGTCATCTTAACCATGGCAACATAATAACATGTTTTTTATTAACAGAAAACTCGCGAAATGTGATAAATTATAAGCACTGATGTTTTAAGCTTGAGAAACTTAGGATGATGTTCAATGACATTTCCATACTAAAAATGAGAATGGCTTCATGAATCTATCAGATGCATAAATGATCTTGTCTCAAATGAAACAATATGTGTGAAATCCTGCTACTCACAAATAAACAGTTAGTCAGAGGTATTATGCATATACAATCCATCTTATGGCCGTAGTTCATACATATTGATTATTTTCTGATAAACAAATAAATATGGTCTTTTTCAGCATAGCTTCATCAGCCTTTGCAAACATGATAATAAAATAAAAGATCGAAGCATAAGGTGTATACTACACTTCATCATGTTCATAGTAACACAGACATATTTCTGGATAACTATTTAGTACTGTTTCAGTTGTGTCTGGATGTGTTTGACATTATTCTTTGAAAGATAGTTTGTAAATATACAACAAATAAATACATAAATACAACAGTATAAGATGAAACACCCTAGGAATATTATAAGAAATTAATATTTTAGGAATAATATCCAGTCATTGACAACTACACAGTTTTCAAAACTTTTACTGTTTATCATTTTATTTTTTTGAAGTTGTTTCTGTGTAAAAAAATCAACAAATTCATAAAAAAGCAATAACATAACACATGAAGAATTGTTTTTTAAATTTCAATACAAACTGAAATCATGCCCTTTTGGGTAAACTATTGTTAGATTATCCATCTAAACTAAATCAGCACTTTAGGCCAAAGCTTCCAGATACATAACATATCTAAACATTAATAAATAGTTAAATATATATATATATATATATATTATATTATAATACATTAAGCCGCACATGATTGTGTGGTATCTGGTACACACTCATTGTCATATCTCAAACATTCAACAAAATCTGTAACACATTCACTCGTCTCATTGATGTCAACCCCTTTTGAATTGCTTCTCGCTCGACGTAAAAGGAAACACTGTATATAGCGATTCTAATTAATGATACCTTTCATATCTCACACCAATATAGATCTAACATAGTTGGATGAGCCAAACAAACAGAATACATTAACAATAAATACCTCATGTGAATGATTTACGATTTGATAACCTAATGCCTAAAGCTACCTGATTGAATGCAGACCAGATTTCGAAGGTAGTTGTGTGGAGAGAATAACACAAAATATACATTTGGGTTTTGGACAAAACAAGGCTTGTGTTCATGGTACGGATTTTGAATGATCAGGTGACCATCATTTTGAATTAGCATACCAACACCACATTTCTTTTATACAAAACCTAACTGTAGAGTTCTAGCTGTTTTCAAATGCTGTGATCACTTGCAATTCTGTATATTGAGTCAGTTGGTCACACATGAAATCGTAACAAGCCAAGTACTCATTTTGTAAGGGTGAAAGTTCTCTTTAGTTCTTGTAATAAGATCCTTTACCCAACTGTATATGAATATTTCATATCACAGAATAAGGTCACCGTGCAAGGTCATGAACCTACTGAAGGTCATGACCTTACTATACAAAGTTCAAGGCCAAGCTGATCACTGGTCAAGGTCGTATTGTCCCTTGAGACCGAGATAATGGCCATAAGTATTCATTATCACTTTCAGCAACCAAGTCTCATAGATCACATCAGGTCATAGTTATCACAAGATTGATGGATCCAACCGCTCTGTGTCTCTCTGTTGTCCCACGGAAACAAGAACTTGAAATCAGGACTTGCATGGCCATACCTAATGTAAAGTCTAAGAGCTAATACTATCTTCCTTCCGTATCTACAGCATAATATCCACTCCCTTTTGTTGCCTGTATCTACGCTTGCACATCTGTCGTTGGTTCTTTCCATCAGTCAGTCTGCACAAGTACACCATCATCCTCAGACAGGACAATCTCTACTAAATGCATATAGCAAATGATGAAGTCAAATTTCAGCAAACAACATAAATCAAATTTTGGCAATTTACAAAGTGTCTGGGTGAATCCTATCCCCCGGAGCATCTTGAAGGCACGTCTGTAAACGTACAAGAAATGCCATTTTCTGCGGAGTTATGGACATAGTCAGTCTACAGGGCTGAATGACTGTCAGCACACAAGCAATACCAGATCCAACTTCTCTCTTCGTCCACCCACAGCACTACTCAGCGAGTCACATATAGCTGCTCTTGTCACAGTTAACATAAAATGCAAATATTCTATGATAATAGCACCTGCTGCTGTAGTTAGTCTTTGAGGAATGAAGCATCCTCATTGTATCGGAGCTGAGAATCAAACTGCAGCCTCTTTCTCCAAGTTATTTGACATCCTGGACATGGCCTGACTAGTAGGCAGAGATTCCTCGGGCCTCGGAGTGGACAGGTTCAGAGGCTGAGTGTGGTCATTCCTGGAACACAAGATTACACTATCAGTACATGGAGCTGATGTGCGTTTATCCACGCAATTGGGATCCATGACATGCTTCAACCAAGTCAGCGAGCCTGACCACCCAATCCTGAGAAAGTATCTCAAACAATGTCAAATCTCTGAACAGTTGAATGATGACCCCTATCTTCTTCCAAGACAAACATTAACATGCAACAAAAAATACATCAGTGAGTGTGTTGAATAGTATTGTAGCTGTATCACAGCATGATAGCTTAATTTGGGATAAGAGAGCTCAATACGACACAGGTGCTAGAATTTATCGAGCTGATGCAATTCATGAGCACGAGTATGGAGCTGACAAACCATGACGATAGTCAGGGTGAATGTGGGATTTTAAACCCCAATCACTGGTTCCTTGCAACCTAGGTTGGAACTCTGAACAGTGAAATAGCAGCGCCTAGATAACTGGGCCACTTGTGTGTGCTCTGAAGTCCCTACACCAAACCGTCCTACTGAAGCAGAAATCAACATCACACCTGCCAACACCTTCCTCATAGGCATGCATCAGTATCAGGTATGGAGACTCTCACATGTGTAAAACAAATCACAAAACATGCTTAACTCATCATAATGTGCACTAGATGGCTGTCTGGTAATGTCTCCCTTCCAAGCTGACTAGTGTGCCAAGCATGGATCATTGTACTCTAAATACTCTGTGGTTCATCCAGAGTTTGAAATAGCTGCTTGCCTGCTATCCTGTGGCCAGTACTTTTCAAGGGGGGGCAGTAATCTATCAAACTTCCTATCTACCTGTCTCATAACTTTGTTTAACGTTAATACGTCGATTCAATAGAATGTGCTTAACGCATCTTTTTAAACGCCACTTTCCCCTTATCGAACATGAAATATTGGTTACCAGGTTCTGTCTAAATATATGCCAATAAGAACAGTGTAGTACAGAGAAGCAGTTTTATAGCACTCCTATTGTACTTGCAAACAGATATGTTCAGTTTACTCTTGTTTTGTGGACCAGTTATCTTTGCTGTGGGATAGTGTTAGTGAAAGGTAACTAGCACCTAATTTGATTTTTTTAAATGGCTGCCTACCGTTTGTCTGTGGTTTGTGCTGCACTTTTGCTGCCATAGGGCTGTGTGAACTGCTGCATGTTGGCAAGATGTTGGTTGAGGGGGCCTGGGGGGAAGCTGACGCCCCTCATCTGGGGCAGATCTCGATTTAACATGGACTGGTAGAGAGATGAGGGGTAGTTCTGGGAGGCCAGGAGGGCCGCCGTCACTTGAGCCTGGGAGGTTGTGGGAGGAAGCAACACTGTCCCATTGGTGGCAGAGGTGGAGGACTTTGGCTTACAGTCCTGAACACCATTGTCCTTTGCTATTTTCTGCAAATTCTCCATACTATCGAACTTCCTCATCAACTTGTCCTTCAGGTGAGACACCGCTGTGGCATGGAACTGCTCCTTTGATCCAACTTCAGCAGCAGGTTTGGGTTTGGGCTCCGACGAAACTCCATTCACTGGGCATTGACCTTGCATGCCACTAAACATCATATTAGGATTATCTGTCATGGAGGAAGATCCTGGCTGCTGCATCATGGGATAGGCATGGTTCCAGGGAATTGTGGGTATAGTTGGCCGTGTAAGCTGTGGCTGAACAACCTGAGTTGGGGCTTTGAGGTGAGCAAGAAGATTGGGGTGAGCTTCTCTAGCAGATCTTTTGGATTTTTCATCTTGTTCTTCTTTAACAAAAGCATCTCTGATAACTGCAGCAATCTCCGAGTCCTCCGGGGTAGGGGAGGGATCCAGAGTCATGGAATTATCATTGTCTTCATTACTGGAATGTACAGTATGCTTTCTCATCTTGTCAAACTTCTTGTGGAAGATCTCCGGGGCTGCTTCATCTTCTGACTTGATGTCAAAGTCCAGCTTCTCTGATGACCCCGAGAGAGAGGCAGTGGTCACTGTGGCAGAAGCTTCCTTGGGAGAACTTCTTTTCTCTGCCCCAAAAGCCTCGATTCCTGCCTTTCTGAGTACTGGCATGTCAACATCCGAGGGCTTTCCCCCTATTTGATCATCTCGGGGGCTGATGCGGAGGAGGACGGGAGGGGGTGGGGAGATGCCAATCACAGAGCTGGGTGGGGGGTAGAGGCCATGGCGGGTAGCTGCATCATACATAGCCTGCTCCTGAACCATTCTCTGCAAAACAGGGAAAACAAGTGTTCAACATACATAGTTAAGATCCCGAGCTAAATATCATTATGATTTTGATCTCATATCAATTTCAAACAACCTGTGTTATTTACACTTCATCATAAGATAGTAGGGTATTCTGACCTGTTTTGTATAGTCACAGTACAGTGAGTGAATAGAGTTTTACATTTCACAATAATCCAGTCAGTCGGTGGCCTGCATACAGCAAACCTATGGTTGACAGTATAAGCAATTATCCATGCTATTTGAGTATGATGACTTCAACCTTTAACATATTTGTCGGATCTTAGGACAAGGATGTGGAGCTGGGGACTTATTCTGCCCTAAAAGTACCATAGAGGTCTTCATCAATAAAATCAATATTTTCCGTATCAATCATCATAAACATCCATAAAATCCATTCAAAATATCTCACCTTGAGTTTAGCCATTTCTTGGCCGTGAGCTCTTTTCTCAGCATCATGAAGTAGTGTTTCTGGGTTGACACTGAGATAAGATGGATGGCGGTCAACCAGCAAGGACTTCTTTCTGGCATGAAGGCCATAGGAAGAGCTGATGCTGCCTCGCCTCATCTCGGGGGACAGGTACTGAGAATCGGCCGACATCTGGTCTTTGTCAGGGAACTGTTTGAGAGAGGACACCCGAGATGCACGACCTTCGCTATTGATATGAAAGCTGTAGCAGCGAGGACGCATGTTAGGGTAGTCATCTGTACCAAATGACCCTGACCTTGACCTTGGACGGGGTGAATTGGGTGAAGACCCAAACGCTATGAGTCCTTCTGGGTTGAGAAGAGGACTGGCACGTGAGCTGCAATGGCTGGAATCTGCAGTGGATATTGGCACAAACTCGCGGTTGCTGTTCAAATATGGATAATTCTCCTCAGGAATCGGACTACTGGCCGCACTGCTTGATATAGAAGGTGGCATGCTATCTCCTCTGAAAGTTGCTCGCTTTTCAAGACGATCACTCAGTTTGTTCACCATTTTGTTAATGTACTCCCTATCCAATGTATATCTTCTCCTGTTTCCTTCCTCAATAGTATGCAGACGAGGTCGTGTGAGTGTATCACGATCTAATGTATTGCACCGGCGCCGAGGTTGATCAGCAACCATCCCATAGAAGCCACTCATTTCCTCGCGGTAGAATGTCCCGTATGGGGTTCTCAGTACCACCTGTTGGTGAGCTGCTGCCTCGAATGGTAGTCGTTGACCAGGCACACCGTTGCTGTCAATGGAGGCGGAGTCAGCGCTGTTGAAGCCCGAGGTCACCGTCATGTTGGAGGAGGCCTCAGAGAGGGTGGGTGACACAGAACGGACAGATCTGAAAGTCAAACATTTACACAATAAATATAAACAAATGAAATCTGTATGGTAATTGGGGACCAACCACTCAAAATGCTTTGGGAGCCGATATCTCAAATTTTTGTAAGACCTGGGTATTTAACATGTCAAGCGAACAATTTTGTTATGTACCTGAAGCAATAATATATTTACCCAGTATTTCTGAAACAAATTATGCATTTAAAAAAAAAATCTCCGCTCCCCCCTAAGACAAATGGTTGGTTCCTTAACAAAGGCATTTTTCTAAGTTCACAAGTTTACAGATGTATCTCTGCCTCTTTGCAAGATGATGGCACTTAAATTGCTGCATCCTTTATTTCATTATATATTATCACAAGGTACTGTTATTCTTCCATACCGTATACTTTGAGCATCTTGAAAGTCCATCTCCATCTCTTCAGCACTATTGCGTTTTTCTTGAGCATTTCGGCTGCCATTTTGACCAGCTAAAACATAAAATGAAAAAAGTGTCAGAGAAAATGAGAAAGATACACTGAAACAACCATCCACCAATTCAAGAATAAGCAGTTTAATTGTGATGTATACGGATGATGAAGATCTGGATTGGGAGGATGCTCTGGATTATAACACTGCTGACTGAAACTATCAGTTGGGTTTACCAATGTTCTTCAATTTGGCCTCACTTGAAAGTATGGTTGGCTGGTGATGACGAAGTGGTTTTAGAAGAACGCACACTGCATTTATTTGATGCTTGGGGATTGATAGAGTGGCCACATACCTATGGATTTCTCTGAGTGCAATGTGTTGAGTGTGCGGAGGTCTGTGGTTTTCATGAGCAGTTTAGCGAAGAGCGTGCTGTCCTCTTTGTGGTTTGTGTTAATGATGTTCTGGAGAGCCTCGGTCAGTCTGTTCTGTATCCTCTCCACCTGCTCCAGGTTCCGGAGACCAGGCCGATCTGAACACAACAAGTACAAACTATGAGTCCTGGGACAAGAATATTTTGTTGATCCGAGAGGAAACCTTGGACAGAAAAATGAAGGATATAAAACGAGTGTTGATATTAACAAACAGAATCTTCTTACCTGGGGACAACAAGACAATGGCAGAGAAGATAGCCAGTTCGTCATCACTTAAGTTCAATCGATTAAATCTCTCAGCAAAGTCAAACATAGAATCAAGCAGGAAGCCAGCATTTGACGTCATCTGAAACAATGAGTGAGTGAGTGAGTATGTGAGTGAGGGAGTGAGTGAGAGAGAGAAAGTGGGCATCATTTATTGTACCAAAATCATTTTCAATCCAAATGGAATATATCTTTAAAATAAACGTACGAAATTTAGATACCCCTCCCATTTGAAATTACTGAATTGGTGTTGGACAAATTAAGCCTGTGGTAGTCATGTCAGCTTACCGAAGCTAGATGTCTCTTGAAGAGTCGTCCTCCTGTGAACATCATGGTGTTTGTGTCTGGGTCAAACAGACAGGCCAGTCTCACAAGCAGCACCTCAAACGTCCCTGCCTGCAACACACAAACATGTTTATAAGTTCATCTAATAGAATTTACTTTTAGGTTATCTGACATCATCTATCATTCAATGATGAATCAGCTTATTAGAATGATCTTTCTGAATACACTTAATATGCATCACTTACATTTTGTTGGAACAAATTTGTTAACAAGTATTTGCATGCAATATCCTGGTCCAACATAATAACCATCAAATCCTCATTTTTCAAGTTCTTTTAGCATGGGATGGTGGGATGTATTGTGGAATCCCCACTGGGGACCTCTGTCTGACCTATGGTCATCGGTCTTGCCGAGCTGTAGCTCACCTTGAGCAGTGTGACCTGATCGTCCTGGTTCAGCAGAGTGAACCCAGGGATACCCTTGGCGAAGTCCACAACTGATTTAATGGCTGGCGTGAAGCTCTCAGAGAAATCTTCCCAGTCAGCATTGTTGGCGTTGTTGTCCATGCCGAGTTGATTGTTGAGGGGACAAGCCTGTAACACACAATCACCATTGAAACATTACTTACCCACATCAACAAGACAAATTGATAAATGTCATCGTTTAGATCTTAAAAGGCACAATGTGCTACTGAGGTTTGTAATTTTGAACTAAAAGGTTTTTTAAGAGCCTTGTGATTTTCAGTGATCCATTCACATAAATTTTACAGATATTTTGCCTTTCCCTCCAAAAGGAATCTGTTTCATTGCATAATCGAGACTGGTTATTCTCTGGCATTGACATTTTATATTTGTCTGAAACTGAAACATTGATCAACGTTATCAGTTTACAAGGTCAAACTAGATCATAACACTTGGAATTTCAGTCATTAAAAGTGTTGTCTAAACGCCCTGATTCACACTCTCTAAGGAATCCAGTCCACTTAAAACTTATCTCACAGACAAAGGCTGTGTAAAAATTTATGTGGGAGTGTGCCCTTCTCATTTCGAAGGAAAGAGAAAAAAGATTTGTTTTGTCTGTAAGGATGCGTGGTATGTGTGTAACACATCAATCTGTGCCCTACAAATGATTATTTCTCCTCCCACTCACCATATGTGCCGGACAGTTGAGGTACTCGTTAGTTTGAAGTGAGTTCTCCCTCATCTTGTGTACACGGAGTGCAGTAAATTCACAGGTGAGCTGATGGCTGTTGACGACAGCCTGAATGACATCGGTCTCGTTCTGGAGGATGGTGGACAGAGCTATGGTCTGGGACTGGGAGTTCACTTTCTGCATCTGCTCGATAATACGTGCCTTCTCCTTCTTGGGGACACGGCCAAACCTCACAGCTGAAAAAATACAGAACATGTCTAAAGTCAAAACCATCATTCAGATAAACACAACAAACTGTGCAACACAGAATATTACTGTCAATGTGAAAATTGTGAGACATTTTGCAACTCAGACTAAGGTTATTATGGAATTTATCATCATCATCATCATCATCATCATCATCATCATCCCCATCCCTACTTATTCACTCATCATCTGCATACTGGCAATAATTTGGCCCAGTAGCTGCTGATACAAAATCCCATCAAAATTATCACATAATGTTAACATTATTCCTGCAGTTAAAACAGATGAGACTTAAGAGATTCTTTAACAGTAACAGTACTGATACCTTACAAAAAATTGACATTATTAAAAAATCATATACTGTATATTGCTGTGTATAAGGAGAGTTTTGGTACCTAGAATTAGGGGGCTTTCACGGAGGGTCGTCTTATACACAGGGTTGAAGAGTTTCAATGTTATTTTCCCCACAAAGTCAGTACCGTGAGCACATAACACCGGAAATATCATCATGATCATGTCAACAAATCTGTACTTAAGTACACAAATTAATCATGTAATTACAGTGTCTGGTCATAAAAAGAGTTCATTGTATATCTGGACTTATGTTTATAAGCTATTTTATTAATTTTATTCAAAATTTCATTCAATATTGTCCACATTCATTTCGGCGAAATTGTGTGTGAATCGATTGGTAGATTGTACAACTCACCGCTATTTACAGCGACCATGGTCAGATAGCGCGATTAACGCCTTGAAACGAACTTTTGTGGATATTGCAAACTTACGGCTACATATGGTCGTCTACGATTAACTACTATCTTTGGTCTTAAAGCTCCAGAAACGTTTAAACACAGTGAGAGTTTGTTGGTTTATAGCAGTTTTACTACCCACAGAATATGAGTTTAAAGTGCATCCTCTCTTGTGCATCCTCTCTTATTGTTATATGCCATGCATGATATGTGGGAAGTTAATTCAATTTACTTATATGGCTGGTTTGTTGTTTAACGCCGCACTCAGCAATATTCCAGTTATATGACGGCGGTATGTAAATAATCGAGTTTGGACCAGACAATCCAGTGATTGATATCATGAGCATCCATCCACACAATTGAGATCGATGACATGCATGAACCCAGTCAGCGAGCCTGACCACCTGATCCCGATAGTCGCCTTTTACGACAAGCATAGTCGCCTTTTACGGTAAGCATGGGTTGCTGAAGACCTATTCGACCCCGGATCTTCATGGGTCAATTCCTTATATGGAGTGTTTTCCAAAATAACTTAAACACAGTACTTGAGATATATGAGTTGATGTTATAATATGAATTTTAACTAGTTTTAAAAGTACTCTGATGCCGATATAAATCTAACTAATAAACAATACACAATTTTTTTTATCTAAGTTCCTATTAATAGAACTATTGTTGTTGAAAATAAGACCTTAAAAGCATTCAAAATTTGTCACTGATTATCTGCATTCTACTAACTTGTTCAGCTTTAAACCTTTCAGCAATAGTCTTTATCAATCTGAATTCTACCAACTTGCGCAGCCTTTGCTGCAGCTAGTTTGCCACTAATTGAATGGTATCTGTCCCAGCCAAGGAGTGGAGTGACACTTAAATGCTTGCTACTTGGAGTGGAAAACAGGTTCAGTGAATCAATGTGAATAATACATGTGTCCCACATTATTTATACACATGTATAGTTCATTCCACATGAAGTCATCAATGATATATATGTCCCTGCCCTGCTCATAAACAAGTTCCTGGCCTGAGACTGCCGGCGACACAGCGAGGGAGAGCATGTCAGAGTGGGTTGTTGGGGATTAGGGGAAAGTTGCTTATAAACGCAAAACAAGACAGTGGAATTCATGGCGGAAAAGTAGGTCAAGGCTAGCTTCTTACAATCTTAAACGTTTTCACAGCTATCCTTCTAGAATTCTTACTTTGTATGAAATATAGATCCACTAACTTGATCATTGAAATTAATAATATTTTTTCTGATTTTTACATAAATATAAATCTGTCACAAATGTAATTATAAGAACGAAAAATTTTAAAAATATTTCATAACTATTCTCTACACTGATCTAGGCATTTATATATATTCATAAAATAAATGTTATCTATTTTTTTATAACATCCTACTTTCCTGAGTAAGATGATCAGGGAATCTAACAACAAGATAACTCTCTCTTTATCTCCCTGTCATGAAAATACAACATGAAAAGATAAAGTATTGTCTACAACCTGCTCAAAAATAACTCTTCTTATGATTTGGGAAACAGCAAAACTGTATTCAAATGTCCCCTAACCATATCTGCCTTGACAATTTAACCTGTAATGTTTTTAATATATATATTTGTGAATGGGTGTTGATTTGTGTTATCACCATGTTGGACACAAAGCCAAGTTGACTCATCCAATCTCATTAAAATAAGATCTTAGTTTTCGCTACCGCTAAGCAAAGATCTGAGGACATCCCATTACGGGTCAAGTCAGAACGACCTTTCGCGAACTTTGACTGACCAGTGAAATAACTGACAAGAAAGTGACATTAGCCAATCAGAAGCCAGCTTTCTTGAGCTTTACGACACTAGTTTCAAACTGGCGACTACACTTCGAAACATATTTTGACGTATTCTCGATTAAATTTTTTAAAAGTGATCAAAAGAATCATTCATGAGGCATATATTCCCAAAAGAGTCTAAACCTTTCTTGAAACATTTGGATAGGTCCAAGTACAAATCTGGGGCAGAACAGTTCCATGGTTCCCCATGCTTATCTTAAGAGCTGACTAAATAAGGAGCTGGTGATCAATGTCACCTGTTTGTGTGAGACCTGTTTGATCACGTGTGACCTGTATGTGACCTGTTTGACCAGAGACCTGATGGATCAATGTGACCTGTATGTGACCTGTTTGATCAGTGTGAGACAACACTCTGATTGGTTGGATTAAAGGTTGTTCTGACATGACCCGTAATGGGATGTCCTCAGAACTTTGTTTAGCGGTAGCAAGAACTAAGAGATCTGATTTTAATGAGATTGTTGACTCATCTTGCCATAGATTACCAATTAGCATGACATTACAAACCAAACAAATCATTCATGAGGCATATATTCCCAAAAGAGTCTAAACCTTTCTTGAAACATTTGGATAGGTCCAAGTACAAATCTGGGGCAGAACAGTTCCATGGTTCCCCATGCTTATCTTAAGAGCTGACTAAATAAGGAGCTGGTGATCAATGTCACCTGTTTGATCAGTGTGAGACCTGTTTGATCAGTGTGACCCATTTGACCAGTGTGTGACCTGTTTGATCAGTGTGACCTGTTTGATCAGTGTGACCCATTTGACCAATGTGAAACCTGTTTGATCAGTGTGACCTGTTCGATCAGTGTGAGACCTGTTTGATCAGTGTGACCCATTTGACCAGTGTGTGACCTGTTTGATCAGTGTGAAATCTGTTTGATCTGTGTGAGACCTGTTTGTGACCTGTTTGACCAGAGACCTGATGGATCACTGTGACCTGTATGTGACCTGTTTGATCAGTGAGACCTGTTTGATCAGTGTGAGACCTGTTTGATCAGTGTGACCTGTTCGATCAGTGTGAGACCTGTTTGATCAGTGTGACCCATTTGACCAGTGTGAGACCTGTTTGATCATGTGTGACCTGTATGTGACCTGTTTGACCAGAGACCTGATGGATCAATGTGACCTGTATGTGACCTGTTTGATCAGTGTGAGACCTGTTTGATCAAACCTGGGCATTTAAAGTTGACGAGCAAACACTAACCACAAGACTACCTCACCATCCTCGTCATATGATTTTAATTACTGACTGCAGTGTGAAACATCCGCTCACATGAATTGTACTAATAGTCTGTTTCAGTCCCTGAACAATATTATTTTCACCCAGCCCTTACGGTAAGGCCATAGCCCTCACTAAAGCAAGTCCAGATTTTCCACAAATTCTGAATCTCCCATCTAACTGGGGCACTTTTTCAATTTTAATTGAGTTGTTTGTCCGTGTCAAAATAACATATCTTAAGAGACTGTGTTAGTCTGGTATTGTACCAAATCAGGATACATACATTTCATGCAGAAACGCGTCACTGACTTCCTTGAACAATCAAATCAAAAGTGAAAGCAGGTTTTGTAGGTGGATGGGCCTTTCCTCGGAAACAACTGTAATTATGCTGTGATGATAAACAGGATGTTGCATATGTCATGTAAAATAACTGGTTGAGCATGTTGAGTTATTTGGGTCATGACCTGATAGAGATTTGAAACTTCCTCAAAATGAAACCTCCATGTCTTATATGGGGCGGTGGGGTAGCCCAGTGGTAAAAGTGTCGGCTTATCTCAACAAAGGCCCAGGATGAAGACGATGACGTCGACGATGATGATATAAATTGTCAGATAGAAAATAACGACTCACCATCTCTCGACATTCCAACTGAAATACATTTCTTCAACCTGGAAAATGAGAAAATAATATTAGAGAATAAGGATTTATGAGAGACTATTTCAGTCATATTGTTTGTTTGTTTGTTGTTTAACGCCGCACTCAGCAATATTCCAGCTATATGACGGCGGTATATAAATAATCGAGCCTGGAACAGACAATCCAGTGATTGACATCATGTGCATCGATCCACGCAATTGGGGTCGATGACATATATCAACCAAGTCAGCGAGCCTGACCACCCGATCCCGTTAGTCGCCTTTTACGGCAAGTATGGTTTACTGAAGACCACGGAATCATTTCAGTCATAATGAACATAAAGCCATTTAATATTAACAAGAGCAATATCTGCCTAAATATTGTAAACCATACATATGAATTTCTGTCATTAACAATATTGACTAGTATTTGAGAGCAAACAACTCATAATCAACTGGGTAACAGGGATGTTTTTTGCATTTTTTTATGCAGATACAGTTTGTCCGGAGCTGTCCTGGTATATGACAGCAGTGTTAATAGACATCTCGCAGAAAGTAGTCAACCATCCCTACCTACAGTATTGGCACCGGTTCCGATTAACTCTCATGATATTGCACTGCTGGTTCTTAAGACAGGGTCTATACTGGATCTTCTGCTGAATACTACGTCGGAAGAATCCCTGAAACAAGTCAACATTGTTGTAAAAATTGTGTTCTATGCGGACACTGTTGTACGTGAGGCGAAGTGGACTTTAGTGTTGCATTCAAGGTCATTGAACTTACATGTACATAGCGACGTGCATGCATGTGTGTGTGTGGCTACTAGCATTATGGCATTTTCATCATAGTGCTAGCCCATGGTGATACCATGCCGCAGTTTAACATGAATACCCACTCAGACACAGTATACTGACTCCGAGCCAACCAGTTCATGTTTCATGCCCTCAATGCCGAGTGCAAGGCAGGGTAGCAACAAGTACCACCTTTTAACATCTTTGGGTACGATGCGGCCAGGGATGACACACCAACCTTTCGTTCTCCTGGCAGATGTTTTATCCACAAGACCACTGTTGTATGACACTGTGGTCTAAATGTGATATTGATCTATTGTTACTTATTATCTATGTGTGATATTGTTGTACAAACTATGCGATACTGTATAAATACATGATAAATTGTGATTTAATTAACACTTTATATGCTTGATTGACAACAGTGCAAGGACATATACCGAAACGTCGCCTTTACATATTTATATATATATGTATTAGGACTAAATTACTGTTCATCTTTTTCATTGGTATCGCTGTTTTCGTTCTGGCTGTGTCGTAAGACTTTGCATTATTAAGTTCAGAAAGTAATCTGATAAAAAAAGATTGTGATTTTCAAAAAAGCTAAATTACAAATCTTGCTGTCAAATTGACCTACACATTACCATAGTCTCAAACGTGCTGTGTCATATGAGAAGTTGTAATAATCACTTTCCGTTGGTGTGAAGTCACAGTATCATTTAGTTTTGTTGCTAAACTTGTTGGAATGTTTGACTGTGTTACTAAACCTTGTATCATGACTGCCATGTTTTAGCTCACCTTACATCCCTCACATGCATGTACGCCATAGTGAAAGCCGCTGGCCTTGTCTCCGCAAACGCGACAAAGTACTGTTTCCCCATCAAACTCTGCAACACAACAAAATATATATTCACATGGGTCACAGCAGCGTTGATATTAGATTTGCACCACACAGCGTCCATATTAAACAAACACAACAGCATCGAGATTATAGATGCATCACAACAGCATCCATATTACACATATATCACAACAGCATAGAAATTATAAAAGTATCACACATTGTCAATATTACATGAACAACAACAGCATTGACGTCATAAATCTTTCACAACAGCATCCAAATACATAAAACAGGATACAATGCTTTGATTCCAGTAAAATTCTGATTGATAATTATTTTTTTTAATCACAAAATCTGTTCAAATTGAAACAATAAGTAATAACATAACTGATGTCAATATGCAATATTCCAGTTGCATCCAGAAAATTTCAAATATTAAAATCTGAAAGCTGATGCTGGGGGTCTGATGACTATTGTTGGTAGTTGAAAAAGAAATTATTTTTGAGCATAAAAAAAAGAAGGCTAATGTCATGTAGGGTGACTATAGTACTTCCCTGCATTATATTAAATGCCAATAAAATTGTCAGGGTTGGCACAAATTTATTAGGAACATTCTGACAGGTCAATACAGGGCATAGCCACACTGTTACATGATTTATAGCCTCCCATGTCTCTATATCAGCAGCATCCATGTTGTCACACACACAGACACCCACACACACACACACACGCACGCACGCACGCATACACGCACGCACACGCACACACACACACACACACACACGCACCCACGCACGCACGCACGCACACACACACACACACAGACACCCACACGCACCCACGCACGCACGCACACACACACAGACACACACACACACAGACACAGACACACACACACAGAATCTACACTTGCTGCAGTCATAACCCTCTTGCACTTTTTATTCATTTGAGATAAACGTATTTTTTCAATCCTGTATTTGGTCCCTTTACTATATATTCTGTTAAAGGTAACCCTGCATGATACCATGGGATATCTGTATATAATTTAACAAAAACAGATTAGTTGACAAATAGTGGCAATATTTCTTTCCGTAGATGCCATACAGGAGTATTTATCAACATACAAATCTCTGCCTTTGTCTTAAATGTTAAATACTTCGGAAATCTATCCAATTTGGAATATCTCAAATTACGTCTTATTCTTCGTAAACAAAACCTTTCCACCTGAACCATAGAGAAACATGATAAACATCTGTTCACAAATCAATACCACAGACTACTCCATACTTCTTAAAGCTTTGACCCTTTACTGTATTCAAAAGACCTCTGTACTTCCACATTAGGAAAAATCAATTACTGCTGTTTCAATTCTGTTTGGCTGTTGGCTGACCCCACGGTGACTGCTGCCTGGGTCACCCCTCACTCCCCCCATGGGTCATTCTACTCACACAGCCTGCCTTACCTATCTCCTGACCAATTGACCGCTCTCTGAACTCGTTGCCATGAGACACCAATACCTCCATATGAGTAATCCTCATTGGGGCATCAAGGTAAATGAGTTAGACTTGCACAGGGCTCTGGGGAGGGCAGAAACTAAACTGTAGCTTGTTTATACATAAATGGTAATGTATATCAAGGCTGTTTAGTACAAAGGGTAACTACCCAAATTATGCCAGCATCTTATCCCACTCCAAAAAGTCAAGGAACACCCAATTCCTTCATATTACTATAGCAGTCTCCAACTTTATCCACTGGTCCGAAGCCCCTGTCTAGTACAATTTCTTATGGTCTAGTAGCTAGAGGACTCAAATTATTTTGGCACCGACTGCAACCTTTAATTTGGCAAGACAGATTAACTACAGGAATATGCAAAATCTGGGTGGTCGTTAACCTTTTTTTTGAGTTGTACATTACAAAGATGTTTCTTGTGGGGACTTATGAAATTAAAAATATTTCTCGGCAAAATATTTAGTACAAAGCAAGATTTGCTCGACTACGGTATAAGGATCTATACCAAAACATTGCTTTTTACAGTATTAAAGAAGTTGTTATCCGTAAAATTGTGTCTACCTTAACACTTCTGATATCAGTAAAGTACACCAGCTGGGTGTGTATCGTCATGGTAACCAATACTGTTACTGAAACGGGAGCAAGTCTATTGCAGTCTCCCATCAGGATGACCATCGGCCAGAGTTCACTGCTGACACACACAAGTCATGTGACCAGCGGTCAACATGTGGCCATCACATAATTAACAAATATTGATCACCAATGCACCATGTTTGTCAGTGTGATAGACCTGGGAATCTACCCCAGCTGCCCTGGTCATCTATGGCTGCCTCGTGAACTCTGTGTAGCAGCCCCTGAACTTGTCAATAACCAACAATAGACTTGACGGGGTGATGACTTCACGGCCCCACCCCCAGAGATCCATATCACCACCAGAGAAACATGATTCATGTGGCAATGTCTTTAGCATTGATCTATAATACAATGTCAAAACCATGACGATGTTTTATCATTATCAAGTTTGTATTTTTTCACGGCTTATCAAAGAGGAAACAACACTGATGACTACTTTTCCTCCTGGGCAATTAAAACATACTCTATATATTAAAGGAAATAATATCATTGATAATAAAACATTCCAAAAAAATGTTCAAAGAATTCCCACACAAAAGACCAAATTTCCATTTAAAAAATTAGACAAATAATATTTTCCCATTTACCATGTAAATTTCCCCCTGCCTAGATTGCTACAAAACTACAGCTGTTGCAACTTAACTGCTACTACTCTCCTTACAACTCCTTTACAGCAAGTACTACTACCCCACTACTACTTTACACACCATCTGTCACAGCCTCCACTTTACAACTACTTCTACTGCTATTACGACAACCATCGTGTTGTTGCTATCTTTTCCAGCATGGAATCCAATCAATGATCTGGTGGGCATGGTGAATGATATTACATAACAACACAACGCGGTCATTCAATTAATAGATGCTATTGACCATCTCTTCTGTTCATAGTATTGACCCTGTTTTTCAATCAGCTGTGTTACCCATTGTTCTCAAACACAGGGATACAGAAAAAAGGAAACAAAAGATGTTGTTATAAAGATATTCACTGAAATCCATATTTCTTTTCCTAATAGATTTTTAGTATTAACAGCTGTCTACAAGCATTAATCATAAGGATATAAATCTTCATTCATATGTGTGTTACTGTATGTTGGATGTCAACAACTGTCCAATAACAATTTGTACTGCAGCTGATATTGATCATCAGAATCCTTGACATCTGAATCAAAAGGTATGCTTTACAACATCACTGTGTCGACCTGAGCTCAGGAATTGCGACAACAACAAAATTCGCAACAAGAACAGGAGTACCATATTCGACGTAATAAGCGCCCAGAGCGCTCACAAAATTAGAAATAGGGGCTCTTATTAGAATATTATTTTGGTGGAAAAAACAGATTTAAAAGATAAATTTTGTGGTTTATGCTGACAGACTGAAATGTTTATATACGACAGATATTTTTTTTTTTCAGAATTTAATTGCCCATAATTAAGGGTGCACATAACACACGAGTGCGTATTGATGTACATTGATCAATCAGAAGGGGTGTTATAGCCAATATATGAGCAATTATCGCCGTGGGCGCTCATAAGAGCGGGGCGCTTATAACGTCAAATACGGTATATGCAGGACCTACATTGATAGAATGGCAGGCTGGAGTAGAATGTGGTTATAAAAAGAACATGATCAGTTTCCTTACATCCTGTTTACAATACTTATGAACAAAGACTGTGAGTCCGGCTCTTTTCTCACACTACATGTATCAACACATAGAAAATAATCTAAAATTAGTTTTGGGCATCATACTGACTAGGAAGATACTGTAAAACACAAAAAAGTATAAGTATTGCCTTGTTAAAATTATTATTTCTTGGTTTCCATAGTTATCAAATTATGTTTCAAATATTAATGCAATAAACAAACAATTTTACAATTAAAACAATATTCAAATCAAAGTTTTAACCATGGTCAGAAATAACTATTGAATTGAAAATATTTAGTGTTACATGGACTTGTCCTTTTAAGGCTTATCTTTCAGTAATGAAAAAACTACTGGGCCCACTTGCACAAAACGATCTTAGCGCTAAGACTATTGTAAGCCTATGCTAAAGTATGGGAGCAACGATCATCTTAGCGCTAAGATCGCTATGTGCAAGTGGGCCCTGGACTTGCAGAGACTAGACAGCCATGAAATCATTAACTTACTAAGTCGCTCTGACATACTGAACTTTAATACTGTTACAACCAGGTACAGTTTTACAATGTTTGAAGTATATTATCAAGGATAATCTGATTTCATTAGCCTCCTTATCATAATGTCTCACACAACGCATAAGGAGATTACATAACACTGATACCCGGCTGCAGATTAGCATGAGGATTAAGGTCAAGCATTCAACAGTCAGCTGTGGTGTTTCAGTCTTCAGGCTTTTTCTCGTGCACTACTGACTGATCACCTCCCTTGTGTAGCAGATGTGAATGACAGGAACAAATGCACTCTTATTTCCATCATTTATCAGCGTTAAAAGGAACACATCAAGAAAAAATGGATGAGATCATTGCTTAAAATTCGTCAAGGAACCTGAGGCCAGACTGGTTTCTTTCATAAAGAAAGGAAAAAAAATAAAAAAAGGAGCAAAATTCTGTTTTGGTTTGGAATTATACTTATTTTCTACATCATAAATGAAGATTTAGTGTCTGTCTGTACTTTTAAACTATTATCCTGGATACCTGTTATCAATGATTTTCTTTGCAACTGACCGTATTTCATCAGTCTTCTGTTCAAGCTCTTGACTTATTGGTTACAAAATCTGTGAAACAAGAAATAAAACTGTTGTGGCCTATTGGACCCTGACTGTCACCTAAAAATGGATCCGTGAAGATCCGAGCTAGAATAGGTCGTCTTTGCTGTAAAAAGCGACTATGCTTGTCGAAAGAGGCGACTAACGGGATCGGGT